ATCTTTATCCATCCATTCAGATTTTGTGCTGCAAACATAAATAAGAGCTTTATTTGTGAAAACTATCAAGAAACGATGGAATAAGCAGGATAATCCACAGCTAGGTGTGCAACTGTGCATTATTCAACTATATTAAAGCACTCCATTTCATTTTGGGTCGGGTGCTTTGCCTCCATATGTTTGTGCATTAAATTTGAAATCGATTTTAAAAAATGTGTTGTTGAGAGAAGTCTCTTATGCTCTCAAATGCTGCATTTGTTTGAGGGATTATTCCTTATTAATTTATTAAATTGTGCAAATGTGATAGTAAAGACTTTTATAATGTTACAAAAGATAAAATATTAATCAAGCAGTTTAGTCCAGATTTTCTGAAGAGACTTGATTGCTTTATAAGATGAATAGATTAAATTTAGTTTTTTTATTCATATTCCCAAGTACAGATTCAGCTCAGATTCCTCAGTATGGCTCTGATCTAATCAGATCATCTCAACAGAAAAGTCAATGTCAACTGACCTGGGCATTATGACCTTAATGAAGAGTGTGAACACAACTTTATGTGTGAACACAATGTGACCAGCTGATGTGTTCAGATGCCTCCCATTTCTGCTGGTGCTCTGTGATTGGTGGAAAATGGGGCAAGGCCCTCTACCAGCCACACTTACTGGATTTACACCGCTTGACAGAAGCACGAGTTTCCGTGCCTGCGTTGCTATGGCCGTTTAAAGTGTGCTCATCATTACTCTTCAAGGCTATGAATGGCAGATTTTCCAGTATACCTTGTGCAATCTGTTGCCACACAGCAGCGTTAGGCTGTATAATAAGCAGGCTTTGTTTTATTACTCTCTCCAAATAAACAGCCCCAGTACACGAATGTAAAAGTCGACTGGCATCCATTGAGAATATGTTCAGAAGAGCCAAGGTGACTTAAAAGGATGTAAAATAAGTTGTTGTTGACAAAACAACAAATTTATATATTATTGTAATACATTTTTTGTCTTTCCATGTTCACACAGAAGCTGAATATTGCCAAAAAATAGGCACTTTTACGTTTCGCTTTGAAACCGGATCTTTTGCCATCGTCTTGTCTTCTATAAGTGTATGTTTCCTCACCACAGTAGCATAAAAGTATTGTTTAATTTTCCCCACGATGCTGTCAGAGCTGGAGTTTGACTCCTAACACATGGAAATCATGAATGCGATGACATGAGGAATTATTCTTTCTGATACACAGAAGACAATGATATAGACTGAAAATTCAAAGAACAATGGACAAAAAAGTAACTATGCCTTTATTCTTTCTGTGTTAAAGGGATATTTCACTTCAAAATGAAAATTCTGTCATCATATACTCACCCTCAAGTTGTTTCAAACCTGTATGAATTTCTTTCTTCTGCTGAACACAGGAAGATATTTTGAAGAATGTCAGTAACCAAACAGTTAACTGGCCCCATTGACTTCCATAGTATTTTTTTTTTTCCTACTATGGAAGTCAATGGGGCCAGTTAACTGTTTGGCACAGTTGACACGTGTTGTTTGTTCAGAGACTGTGGTCCTCGTAAATCTAATGAATAAATTAGAATATATTTTTTAAAATACATCAAGGTGCCTCTTTTTTGGGGGGTTACTCTGTTTTTCTTCTTCTCTGTGGTCATATTTTAATATTCATACGTCTGTATAATGAGTGTGTTGCAGCTCTGTGTTCTCCCATTTTCCCACCTTCTACTCTCCCGCTTTCCCACAGCTTTACACGCACATTTCTTGAGACTTTTTCAAGTCTGAGATGTGAACGACCAGGCTAAAACAGGGGGGTTTCTTGACACTTTAATTGTAGTGTCTCTTAGGCCTTGTTTACACTGTCAGTGAAATGTGACCCAATTCCGATTTTTTACTCGTATGCGACACAGATCGGATGTGTTCTATGACAGTGTAAACAGGAAAAAAACGCATGCATTCGGATATTTCGAGATCGGTTTCAGGCCTCGTTCATATGTGGAAATAAATCAGATGTAAATCGGATATGTGCCAATGCGACTGTCATGTAAACAGGCAGATCGGATTTTCCGAGGCATTAGGCGGTTTAATGACGAGAGAAACCCCGACGCGCATCTGCGGATGGACGGATGAAACAGTGTGTTGTCGTAGGAGAGGGATGTGGACACACGTTGACACAACATATCAAAGGTTGGCTTGCTCATCCTAAAATTTCGGACCCACTGCTCCTCGTTAAAGCCCGCCACGATCTCATGAAAGTGCGTTTATTGCACGATTTGTTTTCATTTACGCCAAAGATAGTTTTTGCGTGTATGATACGCACTTTATGGCGTTTAATCCGCACGTTTACAGTGCGTATGATATGCAAACAAAAACTATTTTTGCCGTATAAATGGCATGAGAAATAAAATTTGTGCTATAGCCTACTCACTTTTATGAGATCGTGTTGTATGTTCCCACCTGTCCTGAGATCTCGCTGCGCGTTCGTCCATCTGAGCAAGAAGACCCCTTTAAACATGCGCAATGTTTCAGTCAAGTGTAAACACATGACTCGGATATGGGTCATAATTTAAAGAACGTGTAAACGGACGGTAAAAAAAATCGGATATAGGCAACAAATCAGAATTGGGCATCAAGACCTGCAGTGTAAACGAGGCCTAACTGAACTAAATTATGTTAAATAAGGGCGGTGTCGTGGTGGGCAAGTGATGTAGGCTAATCGGGGTGCGGCTGAACACCGTGTAACACCGACTATCACAGCAAGCATAATCCATACGTTTTGTAGCTTGACAGGCGTGGCCATTATGAACTATCATTGTATGGGAGAGAGCAGCGTGAACATTTTCAAAACACCCTTCTTTTTTTTTTTTACACCACAGTCATACGGGTGAGATGAGTAAATATTTTTTTGTACTTTATTTCGAAACATAGCCTAAATATGAAATGTCGTTTAAAGGTTGAAACATCTAGAGCAGATTTGATGTCATGCAGAGGTGTTTTATGACGGTAGGCAGTTATGACGGACAGAAACCAGAGTCAAGAGATCTGATGGAGTGAATGCAGGAGCGTCTGTGACCACCGCAGCTGCTGGTCTTCACGTGACCTCACGCTGTGCTATTTGTGGCCAGAGCTTTGAATGAGTTGGTTGCCACAAAGGCATGCGACTCGTGCTACAGGCGGACACGGTTTGAACGCCTCCCCTTGCTTGTATTTATTATGAGTTGAGAGAGGACAAAGGCTCCATCAAAGGTTTTACTTTACAAATCCTCATTGTGTTTGATACCTGGAGGAGGTGCCGGACTCAAGCCAGAGCTCAGAAAAGAATCGCAGGACTTTATTCGTATTCTGGGGATTTCCTTGCTCTGATATTTTGAGTTGGTAAGAAATGGATTTGAAACTTTAGTGCGCTCTGATTAATGGTCTCAGTGGGTTTGTTGTCTTACTGTTTATCTTATTCGAGTTTCCCATGAAACCCGTTATTGGTTTTGCTCACTAATTGATTCAGTGGCAGTAATTTATTTGAAATGCTTTAGTGTTTCAACAGTGGCCTTCAGGGAGACTCAAATTTAATATGGTTATTTCAGACTAAATTATCTTTTGATGTCTTTTCTTTCTGTAATCAAACACGAAGGGAATATTGTGAATTAGTGTTTGTGTTTTAGCCTGAAAATTGAATGAATTGTTTTTAGGCCTTTAAGATATATATATATACACTTTTTTTTTCAGTGATATTTGACGTAGACATGTTTTGTAAGAATGACCAAACTATCAAAAATGTATCTCTGTTAGGAGTTGATGAAATGGAGTGTCCTGTTACCTGAGCTGGAGAAACTGGAAAAGGGAATAAGCTCACGTTCATCTGTTTATTGGTGTACAGTATATTTATTTATTACATGTGACTTGATTGAATTTGATCTCTGACGTTAGTGCCACACTTGTTTATAAAAAGATCCTACTGTAAAGTTCAAGAGATACCTCGGCTTAACTCCAGTCTGCTTTTGGCTTCCAGCTATTACAGTATCGATGAATCATGCAGGTTGTAGTACCAGGCTCACATATCATCACTCTTGTGACTCTCCCAGAAGCTTATGTCAGGATCGTGCTGGTTGCATCATTTAATAAGACTCTTATCGCACTTCATTTGAATGTTTTATGGTGTCAATAGCTATAAAAATAAAGATCTTTAGGAAAGTTATTGTAAACTGAAATAAAGTTAATTTGGGGGGAGGAGGTATCACTGATGGAACGATAAATTGAATAGAAACGGTCAAACAAATGATTTTCAATTGTCGCATAGAATTGAATGCAACAGTTTATCTTAGAACTGTTTGTAAAAATTATTTTGATTTGTTACAGTTAAAGCGTGGAATCATTTAGTGACTGATTTTTAATTGATTAAATTGAGAGCTGTAATCTGCATAAGAATGGCTATCTGAATGTTTTACATAAATTTGTTCTCTGTGTGTATATATATATATATATAAACTGTAATATTTTAATATATAATGTAATATAATAATATTGGTGGCTTAAATGAACTTTTAGATTACTTTTAGATTGCTTTCATATGCTTGCTGAAATTAATCTGTAAAAAAAAACAATATGTAATCTTTAGCCAGTGTTAAAATTAATTTCCATTAAAAAAAATTGTGTTGTGATGCCTACATTTACTTGTAGCATTTATTATTATATTTATTCAAAAAATAATAGTAGAGCATTTTAACAATGGTTATTGATTGGCCATAACACAAAAATAAATGGTTCAATAAAAAGTTTTATAGCTAAATTCTAGTTACTAAAACTAAAATATCTAAAAACGAAATAGAAATATATTTTTAAAATTAAAATAATTTGTAATCAGAACAATTGTGCCCACTTGAACATTTGAAAATGTGGTATGTTAATAACCTTGACTTGATACAAACTTGAATTTACTGTATAACAGAATAATAATCGCTCTCACTCTGTCTTTTGTTTTTCCAGGTCATTGGCACTACAGTGAAGAGCTTGTCTCTGTGTGTTTGCGTGTGTGTGTGTGTGTGCTTGTGTGTGTCTGAGTGTTTAGAGAAATCAACATGGTCCTTGCCCACCTAAAAGTATTTGGAAAGCAGCTTCTGCGGGTGAAGGTGGTCGACTGCAGCGCAGAGTCTCGGCTTTCCCGATGCCTCAACACCTTTGACCTGGTGGCCCTCGGAGTGGGCAGCACGTTGGGCGCTGGCGTCTATGTGCTGGCTGGGGCCGTGGCGCGACAAAACGCCGGTCCCGCGATCGTCCTGTCCTTTCTGATTGCGGCATTGGCCTCAGTCATGGCAGGACTGTGTTACGCTGAGTTCGGAGCACGTGTACCCAGGACGGGCTCGGCGTATCTGTACAGCTATGTGACTGTGGGAGAGCTGTGGGCCTTCATCACCGGCTGGAACCTCATCCTGTCTTATATCATAGGTGAGAGTGCTTCAGATAGCCCAGGGTCCATTACTGCTACTTGAAATCATTCAGTTATAACTAAATGGATGCACAGTATTGGAAAAAAAAACTGACTTTGCAATATTTTGCCTTTCTGCAATATAAAAAAAATACAGGAATTTTCACCAGATGACTTTAATATCTATATTTTTAAAGGGGTCATATAATGCCATTTTTGTACAAGCTAGTATGATTCTTTAGGGTCTAAATTAAAAGTTTGTAATATACTTTAATTAAAAATTCTCATTAGTATGGTAAGAAAACACTTATTTTACTTGGTCAAAAACAGCTCTGTTTTCAGCACGCCGTTTCAGTGCATATAACTTTAAATGATAATGAGCTTTGCTCACCCAGCCCCTCTGTTCTGTGCCCGTTTGTAACACAATAACACAATAACCATAACGCGTTGTTCAGAATAAACGTGGGATTATGAATTATATTGAGAACATCATACATAGAAAACATGCCGTAATGTACCCTGAGTGTAAACCTTAGACGCATTCATTGTGAAGCGTGCAGCTAGCGATTTGCAAAGATTAATATAAATATTAATATAAAGTTTAATAAAACGTTACACTCACTTCAGTTGTTCTAGAGGTTCAGCAGGAACACGAATAGCTCCTTTTTTCGAACCGATCCTTTTTTCATAAGCAGCTTCTTAGCAAAACCAGCTCATACTGACCCTCGTTTATAAAGCAGTCTGGTGTGAAATGATTCGCGCAAACATGAGAGCATTGACGTTGCTCGTGGGGAATATTCCCTTCGAAAACCAACTCAGCCACTGCGTCTTCAGCGGTTCGGATTTAGGAACATTAAAATAACTGCTGTGTTCGTTATTACACCCAAGAACAGAACACCACAATCGCTTAGACGCCATTCTGCTCATAGACAGTGCTCCAGCATATCAACAATGACCGCGCCGGTCCGCGCAGACTATGATTGACAGCTCGGCTCGCTCACGAGCGAGGGCGGGTCTGTGTTGAAACGATGCTGTCAATCAACAATCGTGGGAGGGGCTTCCGAGCGTGTGACGTCACAAAATCGAACGGCTCAATTTGAGGCAGGGGAAAACATATAAGGAGATTAAAACAAAAACACTGGATGGATTTTTATCATTATATGATGGTTGTGTACAGGCACTGCCAACACACATTTCAGTACAATCAACTTGTAAAAGTGCATGTACCATTATATGACCCCTTTAAGAATGAATCATTCTAGAAGGAGTGGGGTGATTTTGTCAGGGAGTCCATAAAATAAAAAGCTGAAAATTACTTTTTAATTCATTTTAGGACTGAATTATTTAGGAAAAACTTCACTGTAATAAAAATATTTTTGAAGTTGTATGTTTTACAAGACAATGTCGGTCTTAAAAACTATTTTTACTTCAGAAATTGTTTATAAATATAATGTTCAACTCAATGCGTTGCTTGCTGTTTCTTTGTAATTGTTTGTGAAATTTACTTGCAATCTGAGTGAAAATGGTGTCCAATCACATCCTGCACCAATTTTTTTTTGTAGTGTTAAATTAACAAATCTACTTGAGTTTTCTTTTGAATTCAGTATGACTAAAATATTGCAAATTTATTGTGATTTATAAAAAAAATCTATCAAAATAAGAAATATATGTACTGTAAAATAAAAAAAAGTTTTACTGTATAATTACAATACTAGTACATCTTAATTTATTCATTTTCAAACAGTAACCTATCAAGCTTTTCTTTTGATTTGTAAATAAAAATATGCGCTGCCACTTTCAGAGTGAAGCTCAGCACTGTTTTTATCTAGACTCATGCAGCTCATGATATCAGGCGTCTAAGTGCCACGCTTCACTTTGAAACCAGTAGCGCATATATTTATTTAACTAACTCGCAGCTTGAGGGATTTGACAATCACACTAAGCCATAACACAATATCGATTTTATTTCGATTTATCGTGCAGCCCTAGTTATTATAACCCATATCACCTGACCGCAAATATAACGTTCCCTCTTTCAGGAACATCCAGTGTTGCTCGAGCATGGAGTGCGACCTTTGATGAGCTTATTGGGAAACATATCGAGGACTTCTGCAAGCTACACATGAATATGAAAGCCCCGGGAGTGCTAGCAGAGTATCCGGACATGTTTGCAGTGCTCATCATCCTCACGCTAACAGGCAAGACATTGAGAGTCACATTTTACAAATATACCAGTTCATATCAGTTTATGTTCAAACAAATAAATGTCTTGTGGATGTTCTGCAGGTTTGTTGGCGTTTGGGGTGAAGGAGTCCGCTATGGTCAATAAGGTGTTCACCTGTGTCAATGTTCTGGTGCTAATGTTTGTGGTGGTGTCGGGCCTCATCAAAGGAACCCTCAACAACTGGAACCTGGATCCTAAAGAGATCCTCAACCACACATCCTCCTCAAAGTAATGAACTGTTTTTTTATTCGTTTAATACTGCTATACAAACCGTATATTTTGTTGAATCTGAATTTTGTTTCAAAATCAAAAGAAAAAAATCTGTATTATATTTTGCTGAAAGTCATGTTGAGTTGCTGAAACAGAAGTAGTGACAGATTTTATTTTATTTTTTTCCATATTGTAATGTACATCTAACAGTAATGGAATATCGAAAAGAACCGTCGGATCGACAGAGAGGTTATTAAAAGAACAGGGTAGGGTAGGTTAATCACTGAAATTGTATTGTACTTTGTTTACTCATTAAACAGCATTATGATAAAAAAGGAACACTTATGACAACAACTTTCTTACCTGTACTCGACTGTTTTTATTCGCGGCGGAACTGAGAGAACGACACTTTTTCCCCTCCTTTTGGCCTAAACACTGTTCGTGGTCATTTTCTGTTGCGCCGTTTTCACTGAACTTTTTACTCTTTGAATTCTTACACCTGGAAATAATACAAGTCGACACCATTATGACTAAAAGTTTGCTAACAAGTATTTCCTACTAAAGCAAGGAGGTATTTTACTCTGGTCAAGCGTATCTATAGCAGACTGGTGGGAGTGGCCTTGGATGGCAACATGCCCAGTGCATTGTGGGTGTTGAAGACAACAGCCTTTTTCTTTTTCTTTTCTTTTTTCTAGTTAGGTAGCACCGATTAAAAAAAAATTCTACTGTATAGCTAGCCACGTTTTATTTATTTCGTCCTCAAAATCTCATCTTACTCATGCTGTTTCCTTTTTATAATCAACATAGATGAAATAAAATAAATAAAATTTATTTAAACATAAATATGAAACTAAATGTGTTTTTTATAATGACTAACACGTATAGTACAGTACAGAGAAATTTAATGTCGGAGCGGGATTTGAGCGAATGCCGTTTTACCGGTGAGCATGTGGGGAGGGGTGCGATTTTTCGAATAATAATCAAATAATTCCCAGCGATCATCGAATATTATTTTTGCTTGAAATGCCCATCCCTAATATATATATATATATATATATATATTTATATTTACATACATGTGTGTGTATATTATATAAAAAGCTAAAATAACACAGTATGGGCATTGCACTAAAAAATGGAGGCAGATGAAGAACGTGAGCTTGAAGGGATTGTTTTTTTATTGGAAAAGGTGGGATGCGTCACCAGAGAGAAGTCTGTCGCTTAACCAGACGATCGAGTCTACATATTATTAAAAAATAATTGTTTTACATTAATTTAAATTTGTATTTAATTTAACTTTATTTGTCAACTTTCAATAAATCAACTTTATTTGAGGGAGATGCTATAGCCTAGTCCTTGTTTGTATTTTCAGTACATCCGAGCTGCTGCCAGAGAGTCTGGGTGTTGGTGGTTTCATGCCGTTCGGCTTCTCTGGAGTCCTGTCTGGTGCTGCGACCTGTTTCTATGCTTTCGTTGGCTTTGATTGTATTGCTACAACAGGTACGTTTTTAATTTTGCATGACAAAAACTATTTCGAGTCTGCTCTAAGACAGATTTTCAGATTGTTGCTGCCCGTCGAAATAAAGCCCTTTTCTTTTCTGCTTCTCTGCATTCCAGGCGAGGAGGTGAAGAATCCTCAGAGGGCGATACCCATTGGCATTGTAGCATCGCTTCTCATCTGTTTTGTCGCTTACTTCGGCGTGTCTGCCGCCCTCACGTTGATGATGCCGTACTACATGCTGGATAAGAACAGTCCTCTGCCCGTGGCTTTCAAATATGTGGGCTGGGAAGGGGCGACGTACGCAGTAGCTGTTGGTTCACTTTGTGCTTTATCCACCAGGTAGGAGCTAAACAAACGTGTCTAACACAAGAAGACCCCATGCTGTCAGTATTTGTGTGCATAGGATAGGATAGCATAGGATTATTTGTTTTAAAACAACAGTTTGTCATTTCTGTGCCACTATTGGCACCAAACAGGATTGTGAAAATAATGGCTTGAAACCTTTGCAAAACTCCATTGTATTGGCACAAATGTCTACAAATACACATGCACAAAAATCATACTGATAATAATTATTTAAATAATTTATTTTTGAATTGAGGAGTAAGTTTGTTTTTGCTCTCCATGACATGACCTATTTAATACCTCAACTGTCAGGCTTAAAGCTGTGTGGAGCTTAATAGAGGTCGACCAATATTAGATTTTACAAATACCGATAATGAAGTTGGTCAGTATCTACAATAACCGATAGTTTTTAAAACTGATAAAACATTTCTTATCAATTTTGAAAACTTTTTATTTTCATTATACGTTTCAGGATTCTTTGGTGAATAGAAAGTTCAAAAGAACAGCATTTATTTAAAATAAATGTTTTGCAACCCCAGACTAGTAGTGTGTATGATCTCAAAAAATGTGGTTTGGAGTTTTATGACCCTTTAAATGCAAACCCAGTGGTTTTTTGTTTTTTCTTGTTAAAGCTAATTAGCTTCAGTAGATGTTAAATGCACTAGCTAACTGCATTGCATGGCTTGAATCTGTTTCTTCTCCCCTGAACTAGTCTGCTGGGCTCCATGTTCCCAATGCCCCGTGTAATATGGGCCATGGCTGAAGATGGACTGCTCTTCAAGTTCTTGGCCAACATCAATGAAAAATCCAAAACGCCCATAATGGCCACTATTACTTCAGGCATAGTGGCAGGTGAGGACGCTCATTCAAACCACTAACATACTCGCTTCTTTACACATCTCACAGTTATGCGGCCGACAATCTCCCAAACTGCACCATGACTAAATATGTCCGTCTCATCCACTAAACTCCAGAGAACTGATAACCTCTTTGTGCTAAAAATAGGCTTTATTCAGGCCTTCATGTTCAGAGAATTGCAGCATTGACATTAAACTGTTAGTAGAATTACCAGAAGTATAAACTTTATACATTTAAAGTGAAGTTTTCAGTTGAGGAGCTGAATTATAAGGAGTTATATTGAGCTTTGCTCTCCTAGATGTAAAGTTTTGGTGGTGAGGCTTGAGGCATTTGTGATTGTCTCATCTTTGACGTTCAGATTTAGATCATATATCCACTTATCCTCCTTCCCCTGCTTGTGTAGTCTGCTGGAACCTCTTTATTATTTTGGAACCTCTTACTTAACTTTTGTATTGATATTTAGTGCTGAAATGTATCTTAAATGTACATTTTATTTTTACCTTTTAGGAATTTAAATATATGATCAATGGCCTTAAAAGGATAGTCTACCCAAAGATGAAAATTGTCATCATTTACTCTCATGTTGTTCCAAACCCTTTTGACTTACTTTCTTCTGTGAAACACAGAAGAAGATATTTTGAAGAATGTTTGTACTAGAAAAAATACAATGGAATTTTAGAAACCAAAACTTTTGGGGTTTTATTCATATTTGAATGGACTATCCCTTTAAGTTAATATTTTTCACAAGGGAATGAGTTTTTTTTCTTTTCTTTTTTCTCCTGAAAAGGGTGTGTAAGTGCATTGCACATGAGCCAACCACAACATGAAATCATAACCTTGCTTTGTCTACATTTTAATCCGCAGTTTCTGGCATTTAGGACTAAGAGGCACCTAAAACTTTTTAATTGCATGTTAAACATGAAACACAAATACAGTCATTAAGACTAACTAATAATTATTAGGGGTGGGAATCTCTAGGCACCTCACGATTCGATTCGATTACGATTCAGAGGGCTGCGATTCGATGCTAAATCGATTATCAGAATCTTTTGTGTGTGTGTGACTATAAATACTTTGCTTTAAAAGTACAAAGTAATGACCCATAAAGAATTAACGTACAATATATTTTATTAACATTGCAAAGAACCAACAGGAAAATACATGTGTGTCTGAACTAGCAGCAGCATATTTGTAGTAAATTAATAATATAACAACGACCGGTAACGTTAACTTACAGCCGAGTGTTTTTCCTCCTCTGGCTGGAAACGTGTCATATGGCTTCTCATTTGTGTCTTGTTTCCGAAATATTTTAGTTTTACTCTACAAAGCTTACAACTAGTGTGGCTCTTGTCCAGCTCCTTTCCCCCTTCAACTTCAGAAGCCAAAATATTTCCACACGTCAGCTTTTAACGAGGAGGGTGTTTGGATTTGGCGCTCAGCCATCGCGTCCGCGTCTGTTATGTGCACGCCACAGACAGTCCGGCCACTGCACTTCCGCGCTTCAGAGTTCCGTCTTTCGCGTTCCGTCAATATTACGTTATTATAAATATATATCTAAATTTTTTTTTTTTTTTTTGAAAATCTATTTTTGACAATTGTGAATCGATTCAGAATCGTCCACATCCGCATCGCGATGCATCTAAGAATCGATTTTTTCCCCCACCCCTAATAATTATCTATTACTATTAGTTCAAGATGTGCTTTTTTTAAGTGAGGTACAGACTGTTAACAGGATATGTGGCAATACTGAAGAGAGGATATGCAATGTCAAATGTTATTATGCAGGGCACACAGCATATAAATGAGTAAATAGTGTTGTTCATTTTCAGTTTGTTGAAGTCTCTTTAAATATCACAACTCATTAACCATTTCTTAATCCTTTTAAGAGATTGTCTATTTGTATTGACTTGTTGGTTATTAAATTTTATGTCACATGAATATATTTACAATACATTATAAATATTAACACTAATACAAAAAAAGAACCATTCAAAAGTTTGGGCTCCGTAAGAAGAATACATTCAAATAGAAAACAGTTCTTTAACATTTTAATATTTCACAATATCGCTGTTTTTACTGTATTTTTGATCAAATAAATGCAGCCTTGTTGAGCAGAAGAGTTTTTTTTACTGACCCCAAACCATTGAACGGTTGTGTATTAATATTCATACTGCTGCGAACACTTCTGTGCATACACTTCTTATAATTATTACATTTAATACAACTGCTGAATCATTCTGCAATAAACACTCCTCTTCCCTTCACAGCGGTGATGGCTTTCCTGTTTGATCTGAAAGATCTGGTTGATCTCATGTCCATTGGCACTCTTCTGGCTTACACACTAGTTGCGGCCTGTGTCTTAGTTTTGAGGTATGTCTTGAATTATGGGAGTGACTACTGTTGAACTGTACATAATCAGCGAAAGGTTCGCTCTATGATCACTAAGCATAAAAAAAACTAAAAAAAAAACTGGCTACAATGAGAGGACATTATTCTACTCACCCTTCAACCATCAAACATTAGTTTCGAACATCGAACATTAGCAGTTAGTAAAAATGTTACTAGAAAAGACAATGACCCATCGATTATTGCCGCAGCAATATTACCAACGTGATCAATATCACTGTAGTTTTATATATATATATGCCTGTATTATGTAACACGTTGTCTAATTAAAAAATGTCCATTAACTGGAACATTGGGTGATAATATTTCAAAGTGATTTCTGTAATTTTGCTAGACAATAAAGATTGTTTTTTAAAGCATCCCTGTGAAAACAAACCTGGAAAGAGATTTAAGGATTATTTGTAGCGCAACCTTATGATTTGAAATGATTTGTTTCAGTCTTTTTGAGTGGAACTTCCCCAAACCGGAAGTGCCTCCCACAATCTAAAACGCAGTAAGCTTGTTAGGAAAAAGGTGGATAAACAATTAGGAAGCACAAAATGTAGGTGTCTGACATGTCTGCAGTCTGTCATTGCACTCCATTTTTATGGATCCAATAATTGTTTTGCATTATTTTCTTAATCACACTAGGTTAATGTTAAAGTTACAGCCCTGATATAAATGTATTCATTATCATAATGTATTGTATCATTGATATACTTTTATAGTTTTTAAGATTTTGAATTGGATTTTATTTCTCTTTTGTCTGTTTTCATTGTCATTTTAACTTTTAGTACTTTTGTTGTTTGTCTATATAGTTTATTAAGTTTTAGTTTTTAGTTTATTACAACTAGCTGACATAAAATAAGTGTTTGTTTATATATATATATATATATATATATATATATATATATATATATATAAGGGCTGTCAGTTAAACATATATATATATATATATATATATATATATATATTAGGGCTGTCAGTTAAATGCGTTATTAACGGCGTTAACGCAAACCCATTTTAACGGTGTTAATTTTTTTATCGCGCGATTAACGGTCTTGTTGGCTTTGTGGTTTTTTTTTCACATGCTTTTGCAACAGGATGCGGCATGTGCGCAGCTGCACAATGAAACCCATTCATTTCAATGGCTTGCGCCGCGCGAGGACGTTTTGTTGCTTCGTCGATCAAAGCACAAGCGGATCTAGCTAGACCGGAAACAACACAACAGGCACGCCGCGCACACTTGTTTGGGCTTGCGAGGCGGCCAAATAGTTGGTTAACGACGTTACGTTTTGAGTGGATGATGAGCGCGAGACGCCAAAATGGATTCCAATAAGATTCTGAATGGAAAGTTTACTTGCCAACCAAATGGAACCAAATGGTTCCATTGACAAGACCAAAGTGATCTGTGTGTTTTGTCGTGTTGAACTGAGCTATCATCATCGCAGCACGTCCAGTCTGAAATACCACTTGATGGCCAAGCACACACACAGACAGCTGATGCGAATTCTCCGCCCCCTCGTCAATATCAGGACCTCGTCAGTATTTCTTTCACCCTTTTATTGATGGACAGTGTTACATTGTGTGAGAGATTATTTGCTCCAAGTGAGAATGTTAGTGTGAAATTGAACATAGTATATCCCAATGTTGTTTTCAATAAAAAACATTTGCACAAAGCAAGCCAATCCAGTTTTCCATGTTGATAAGAGCATGAAAATGAGAAAAAAGAATGGGACAAAAAGAAATCAAGAGACATTTAGAATAGATAAAAATGTGCGATTAATTGCGAGTTACCTATGACATTAATGCGATTAATCGCGATTAAATATTTTAATCGTTTGACAGCACTAATATATATATATATATATATATATATATATATATATATATATATATATATATATATTATTTCAGTTAATGTTTATTAGGGCTGTCAAAATTGCTCAAAAATGACGTTCGAATATTCCCTCTAAAAAAACACATATATTCCAACTATTCGAATATCTGGTTGCGCATTTTGTCAATGACGCGCATTACGTCAATAACAGGACAAATTAATACAAAGAGACACAACTACTTGTATAGGTAGTTTATTTAAGTTTAAACATATTTGACAACGTATTAACTTACACTAAACCAAGTAAATCAACTAATGGCCAAGACCGCAGACCTTACTCTCGCTCGCACTCGCAGGCACTCTTTCTCTCTCTCTCTCTCTCTCGCCCTCACGCTCTCTGCGCATAACGGTTTAAATGAACAACAATAAACAAATGTTGAGTGCTGATCAAGAGTTTTGTGCTAGCAATTTAAGGTCGCGACTCTTGTCCTAAATATAGCAGGCTTCATTCGGTGATTGAAACAAATATTATTAACATTAATTGAAGTTTTACAGTATATAGAACCGACATTGAACGCTCCGAGCGAGCTGTGCTGTGGTAAACTCATAGACAGTATAAGGGTAAACTCATGGGTAAACTGCTGCTAGCTAGCCTCCTACTATGGCTATTTCGAGGGCGTCTGGCCACGCCCCCTTGGCGGGCTCTGACGTGTCTGATGTAATGCTAGCTCATTGGCGCACACGTTGGAGGCGCCCGTGCCATTGGATGTGCAGTTGCCGCAGCACAGCCAATGAGTGAGCCAGACACTCGCTGTGCAGCTGGAAAATGCGTTTTACATTTCAGAATTTTGCCACTCGCAAAGCAGACAGCCACGCCTCTGCTACCGCGCGCGTGTTTTTCCACATGATTCGAATATTAATTTTCACCTTCGAATTTCTGTTTTTTAAAACTATTCGAATATATATTCGAATTTAGAATATTCGTTGACAGCCCTAATGTTTATTCATTTTCAAGTAATGTTAATTGTTATGGTTTTAATTTTAGTTAACAATAATAACCCTGATTCATATTAAGGTGTAGACTCAATCTCTCTCTCTCTCTCTCTCTCTCTCTCTCTCTCTCTCTCTCTCTCTCTCTCTCTCTCTCTCTCTCTCTCTCTCTCTCTCTCTCTCTCTCTCTCTCTCTCTCTCTCTCTCTCTCTCTCTCTCTCTCTCTCAGGTACCAACCAGAGCAGCCCAGTGTGAATGTCCATTATCAGAGAGCCAGTTGTCAGGAGGAAACAGAGGCTGATTCCATCAACGAGAGCAGTGCTGGTTTCATACCTGGATCTCAAGATCTCTGCACCCTCAGAAACCTTCTGTTCCCCAAAAACGAGGAGCCCTCTCGTCTCTCGGGCTTCACTGTCAACATCTGCACGAGTGTATTAGGTCAGACAGACTTAGATGCATACCTGACATATTTACTTCAGTAGGCTTGCGTTCTGATGATTTTAAAATAATTAGATGGACAGCGAACTGACTTCACACTGATACCCTTCCTTTTGCTGCAGGTGTCCTGGTGTGTGTGTTCTGTGTCGTGGCGGTTCAGGGTGGATTTCAGGTCTGGGCTCTTGTGGTTCTTGCCGCTCTGGCTGTAGTTTGCTTCATCATCACCATGTTAATATGGAGGCAGCCTGAGAGCAAAACTAAGCTGTCTTTTAAGGTAAATACACACCTGCATGTTCACACAGAGTCTTTTATACTCTCTTCTTATGGTGGTTTGTAAAGCCCGGTGGGTGTATGTGTGTACCCAGGTTCCTCTGCTGCCGTTCCTCCCTGTCTTCAGCATGTTTGTTAACGTGTACCTGATGATGCAGCTGGACAGAGGCACCTGGTTGCGTTTCGCCATTTGGATGGCCATAGGTAAGTCTATTAGTGGTTGACTGATATGGGTTTTTTGATGGCCAATGCCGATATCTTAGGCCCTGTTGACACCTGGTATTAAGATGCATTTTGGTCGATCGGATCACAAGTAGACGAGGAAACACTTACCTGTTTACACCTGGTGTTTGAATCTGTCTCTTTTGTCCACTTTCAACCACTTCTGTTCTGACATCTTCAAGGGGAGGGTCTATGGGCAGGTAAATGTACGGACTTTTACAGATCTTTCAATCTATGGACAAAACAAGCTTGCGCAATTTACATATGAACGCTTTCGTTTCTGCTCTGACAGCCGCAAGATCACTCCGATCGCTCTGAGTGCGTGTTAGAAATCAGGAATGGTGAGAGACAGTGATGCGCGGGTTGATCCAAAATGAGCGGGTGCCTGCGGTCACCCGCGGTTACGAGTCATCCAAAAATATTTTTAATGATATTCGGGTCGCGGTCGGTCGGGTCGTTTGAAATCAAGATGTCAATTAAACCTTTGTAATTTATATAGTAGCTACTAGACACAATTTTCTATGAAATACATAGGCCTACACTTTATTGGCTGAATAACTGGCACGAAGATGACGCACAAGCTCAGTCTGCGGGTAGAGATGGAGGCGGAGAGAGGAAAGATATCCTAGCTGTAACGATATGCGATATGAAACCGAAATCACGACGCTCAGAATGACCCACGAACCTAAAGAATCGCGACACACCCCTTCCAACTCCAAGAGTTAGGTCTATCCTTCCCGTCCAGGGGTGCGTTTCCTGAAAGCATCGTTAGCCAACTATGGTCGCAACAAGTTCCGTCGTTACCAATAGAGTTCAATGGGATTTGCGACCAACTTGCGACCATAGTTGGCTAACGATGCTTTCGGGAAACGCACCCCAGATCCAATGCTACCACATCTTTAAATTATATTAGTATTATTTTAATTTTGAAGTTAACATTATAAAATATGTAGACCAACACAACAAAACTAGTTGGGGATAGATTATTTAAAATTGGGGAATTCCAGCGTTATGGACGTGACATTTGCAGTCAAAACTTGAAATAGGCCTATAAATTCTCAGAAAATGCATTTAATAGGCTACCAATATATTGAAACGTCTGTATCCATACCCTCTTAAAGGAGTCCAGACATTAGAAACATATCAGTCTACACATGCGTTTTATATTTATATGAGGGAAATAGGCTACACACGCATTCATGCGTGACAAAACAAATATTTAACTTTTAGGAGGCAAAATATTTTTTTTTAATTCTGTGAATTACACTGCGCAAATCAAAAGTAATACTACCCACCGGATGAAGAAGGGTTGGCTCTCCACAGAACATAAAATAGCCTATTCATTTTATTTTATTTTTCGTGTTCGCATTTATGAGGAAAAAACCATGTAAGGACGTGACCGCTCTGAAGCGGCACTAAAATACTTTTTTAAAACTTTCACAGAGACCTCAAACAGAACACACAAAGCCTTTCTTAAAGTGAATTTCAATTTGTACTAATTGTATCTTATTTTTAATCAATGTTTCATCAACCAATTGCCTGGATTTAATAAATAAGTAAATATAGCAGACAAGATAATCACGACATGGAGGCGCCGGCGCGTGAACTGGAGCGCGTCTCATAAATTAACCGAAACTCAGCGTATAAGGTAGCCTACTTCACAGACCTGAAAAATATATCTATATTGAAATGTCTACTTGTAAACAGAACAATTCAAAACGAAAGAAAACGGACTGCTCTCTGCTTATCTGAATGAAATGTGCATTTCTCTCTGGCGCATTCACTACTGCGAAGATCGCGAGTCAGCAACGTCAACTTCATGTTTATTAATAAACAATTAGCCTACTTCTTGCGATGCTATTTACACATTTGTGTTACACGTCTAATGGCCCAATGACGCTATGATGAGCATTTACCTACTTTTAAAAAATGCGGGTCAGGAAGCGGGTAGGGTACAATATTTTCTTTCTTTTTTTTTTGCGGTCCGAGTTGCAGGCGGGTTAGTTGAAAACGTCAGTCGGCTGCGGGTTGTTTATACATTGACCCGCGCATCACTGGTGAGAGAACATTGTGCTTGGTACATTTTTAATCTTCAAAACTTGCGTCTCCAGCCAAAGTTTAAATCCTGTCTGGCTAGCGCGCTGCCGCTTCCCATAATGTTTACGCATTAGGTCAGTAGACGGTCTTTTGTGGCTTTTTGAAAGCATTTGACCACGTGAGCGCTTACACTACGAAAGCAATCCGGTCGAATGCATTTGACTACCTCTGGAAGTGGTCGAAAGTGGACAAGCTCAAAATATTTTAGACCCCATTTACACTTGCGTTTTGGTCGATCGAGTCACAAGAGGACGACACTAAATACATCTTAAAACCAGGTGTGTGACCAGGGACTTAGAAAGCAGGGTGGCTAATATATATAATATCACACCATTTCATTTAAAGACAGTAATTTCTGCAGTGAAATTTATGTTATGTATTTAGTCATTTAGAAATAGTTGTAAAATGAATTGCTATCAAAAAAATAGTTATAAACATCGATAAAATGTAAGAAAACACTGTAGCTAACAGTACACTCTCCAAGACCAGGTAGTGCTAATTTTACTTTAGATTAGATATTCAAAGAGTTGTTTAATAGATATAAATGCATATTTGCTGAATGCCGACTGTATATGAAAAATTGTTATAATGTTTGCCTTTTTATTACTAGTAATAGAACTGCAAACATTATAATACCTTTTTTCATGTACTGTTTACTTTCTTTGTTAAACAGTTCTAATAATGTAATGTAATGCAGATGGAGAATGAAAGCTCCAGTACATCTTAGCAGACATCTTCTGTCTTAAAGGGCTAGATCACCCAAACATGAGAAAAATTGTCATCATTTACACCCTCTTGTCGTTCCAAACCCGTAAGACCCGTTCATCTTTCCTCCATTGACAGGCTTTTATTGTGGTAGTTGTGTGGACTAAGTTCAATCTGTTCATCATATAAAGCGATCGTGTCTCTTCAGAAAATTTGGACTAAACCACTCAATTCATATGGATTAGTTTTACAATCACTTTATGAACTTTATGAAGCGTCAAAGTGGTAGTTGCGTAGTTGCATAGCTGTCAATGGAGGGACAGAAAGCTCTCAGATTTCATCAAAAATATCATCATTTGTGTTTCGAAGATGAACGAAAGTCTTTACGGGTTTGGATCGACATGAGGGTGAGTAATTGATGACTGAATTTTCATTTCTGGGTGAACTAAGTTTTTAGGGGATTTTTGAGGCATTTTATTAATCACTTGGGCTCCCAGTTTTGAACTAAGTAGTTCCGCCTGTAGCGTTTGGACCAATCAGACACACAAATGATTCATTATATTTAATGAATAATCCAGCAGACTCACTCTAATTTGCTACAGCCCACTGAACGATCGGTTTGGTCCAATATCCATCTCCTTATAACTGTATATTAAAAATTTAAATAAGTCCTGATATATTGTCACAAACTTTTTCACATTCAAATTGGTTGCATAGTGCAGGACATTGAACTGCACAGGCTTGAATAAAAGAAAACAAGATAAAAGAAAATAAATGGGTACAGTTGTTCAAAATAATCACAATAAACTTTAACCATAGACGGAAAACAAGTACAAGGTCTTCTGCTATGCGTTAATAACTTTGTTTCTCTCTAGGTTTTGTTATTTATTTTGGCTATGGGATCTGGCACAGCACAGAGGGAGCGTTGGCCTGTAACGACACAGAAGACCCCGTCAAACCAGATGAACCAGCCTCACCTGAGAAAGAGGCTTTCCTGAGCAACGCAGGGGAGAGCAGTGACCCTTGAGAAAGCACTTCAAATACTCGCTATACCGATGTATGTGACCTACGACAACCAAAACGTCCCAACACAAAGCTGCTATTGACGTTCAAGATGCTTCTCTTGATGTGTTACTGTAGGTCTAAAGCACCTTTGAGCAGCATTTAGAACATGTGACGAATTCTATTTATCAGTTGAATTGCATTACTGTAAAAAGTGAAGTACGACATTACTGATTATAATATGTGCGTAGGGATGTATTATTCCTCCGTCTGATTGGTTCATTTTTACCTATTTATTTTTGTAGCATGTTGCTATCATGCTTTTTAACAGGGTCTTGAGAAAAACTCATACATATTGCATTGTTACCCATAATCCCCTTTGTGGTGTGCGTTTTGTATGTTCAATTCTAGGGATGCACCGATACAAATTTTACTTGGTTACATATATTTTTTAAAGCAAGGTAGCAGAAAAAAACAACTGACAATTACACAGCTTCAAAAGATAATTCAATATTAAATTTACTCTTTATATAAGTTTTCACATATTTATTTAGCTGACTTAACCAAATCGATTTCTCAATATGATGCTACAAATCAAGCCAGTTGGTTTTTGGTCATTGTACAAGTCTGTAACAGTCCAGTGCCTTTTCCCACCCTTTATAATTAACAGTGCTGATGTCTACTTGCACTGAAAATGACTTTTAGCGGCCCATACCAATGATTGATCACAGTCTGGTGCCACTTTTCAGACTGTTATGAGACTGTTGCCAAGCCCTTGGGTGGGGGTAAAAGTCTTGGATCTGGGAAAAAAATCTCCATTCAGAGGGATTGTAATGCTGGTTTGTTTGGTCCTTTATTCAGCTGTTGTGTGCATGTTTATTCTCTGTTAGCTATTGGGCGAAATATTTTTGTACAGTATTTTTGGACTTTTGGGTATTTGACTTTGTCCATGTTTTAGTCGGTGGATTTGTACAAAACCAAAAACGAGCCAAAGAATTGATGATTATGATCATTTTTATTATGAATAATGGATCCGCCATAAACTTTATCTCGTTGACATTTTGCATTAAAAACCATAACATGTTTGAGAACAGATTTGCAGAAACATTGGGTGTCAGTATATGTTCTGCAGTCTATTGTAAGTAATTGAAAATATATTCAATTTTTTCATGTCAGAAATTAAGGGAACTGTACATTTTTGTAAATATTTGCTGTTTTTCTTGCAATAAATTATTTTCTTGTTTGTAAAGAAAGTTTCTCATATATATCTTAATTTTCTGCCTTTCATAACCCAAGACATAAACACTGTGTGCTAACAATATTTTCTATAAATTTGCTTACAAACTTTATATAGTATTATACTAAATTTAAATAAATTCCATCTGCCTTTTGTTGTATACTACTAATAATAATAGTTATTAAAGCGGTGTAAACTTGACTGGATTTTATAAGATTGGTGTAGTGTATTATGTTGAATAATTAGAGCATGAATATTAAACAAATTAAGACTAATATTTTCTACATTTGCATTTAAACATCAACCTCCCAGATTTCCAAGGTAAGCTGGAAGCTCATATCTTCAATGGTAAAAATTTTCCTATGGAATATTTAGTCTTTATTATCTTAAATTTAAACACCATTGCAATACATGTAACAACCAATCTCCTCTTTAATATTTTATAGTGATATTAAAACCTAGCACTTTTTTAAAGAATGTTTTAAATTTAATGAGAATGAATGTGTGGGTGTGGCTGTGTGCACAATTTTTATTTTAGGATGTTAAAGTATTTAATTAGATGTTTAAGATTTAATTAGATGTTAACAGTGTTATGCAAGAACCATGCCTAGTAACTAGCTACTCTTTTTTTAACTGCTATAACGTTAACTGTTGTGAGTTAAAATAATCACCTAATTATTTCAACCTAAAAATGACCTGCACTGGACTAAATATAATATATGACTATTGACTGCCGAGTCGCTTTCACCCCAAAATGGCGGACGCGTAGGGCTGCTGCTGGGCGCTGGTGTTGCAATGGAACGTGGCTTTCACTTCTTGTCAATTTTTTTTTTCTCTCTCATTAAAACCGATTATGTTTATCAGTGGTTGTATATCAAGCAGGGACACGTTTGTGTGCATTCACTTTGTGATTTCACCGGAACGAATAGAGAGTCTCCGCAACGGATTAAAGCGCGCGCGTCCGAGTTCAAAATTGGTTGGGACAATAATCGACCCAGGCAAAAAGTGGTGGGGACATGTCCCACCCGTCCCACCCGCAAATTACGCCTATGCCTATGGTTATAACCGGTTATAACTGACGTTTGAAACACTGTAAGTGCGTCTGCCAAATTAATAAATGTAACAATAGACTGATATGTCCCACATTGGAGTGTTCTTCAGCAGCTTTGCAGTGAATGTAGTAGCCATAGACAGTAAAAAGTAGCCTAGTCTGTCAGTCGATCTTGTAACGGTACAGATAGCTGAGGCTGCTTGGCTGAAGGAAGAGGCGCGTCCACCGGCCGGCTCAAGCCTTGTTTATACTCGACGCGTCCGCACGAGCGCGAGTCTCCGCTGACTGCGCGCGCACCTCTCCAAACGGACGAGGCGTTTATACTTGACGCGCTCGCCGTTGTGCTATTCTGTGAAACGACAGGGGGCGACTCGGAGTAATTCTCCTCTAAACCCCCAGGAATCAGCAGTGAAGAAGTAGTTTGCCGTTTATTAGTAGTTTATTAATAGCTGATTCATATTAAAAGAGTAATAAACAACTGAAGCCTTATTGAAGAGTGTTTAAACCTTAATTTCATCAGCAGGGCCTACTTCTGCTATTGTAGGCTTATTTTATAAATGTAAGCAGTTACTTTAGACAAGTGCAAACTGGGTGCTTAATGCAAATGTGTTCCTATTCACAAAATGAGAGGCTTTTATGGTCGCCCATCAATGCGCCCATCGGCGCCGCGCGCGATGTTACAAAAAGTGCCGTGCACACCGCCAGGCGAAATGGGGTCTTGCGCACCCAACGCGCACGACCGCCCACACCGCAATTACGTCATTTTGCCGTGCGCACCTTCGCGCTCTTGCGGACGCGTCGAGTATAAACAAGGCTTTACAAAAAGTGCCGTGCACACCGTCAGGCGAAATGGGGTCTTGCGCACCCAACGCGCACGACCGCCCACACCGCAATGACATCATTTTTGCCGCGCGCACCTTCGCGCTCTTGCGGACGCGTCGAGTATAAACAAGGCTTCAGTCTCACAAAGCCCGCCCTTTTACCCATATGGATTGGCCAGAAGGTGGGCGGGGTTAGGATTTCCCAAGATTTTCAAAAGATGGCGCCACCCATACCCCGCATAAACGGGAGATCATGGTCCTCACTGCAGAACACAAAATCCAGATCCAGATCCAACTCCTCCCACCTTACATATATCTAAACCTACCCATCTCCACCCCCTGATCCCTAACCCCACCCCTAATCCTACCCATCTCCACCCCCTGAACCCTAACCCCACCCCTAATCCTACCCATCTCCACCCCTTTGATCTGGATCCAACTCCGCCCCCTGGATCTCGTGCACTGCAATGAGGTGCTACTGATAAACGGCCTCAAAACCGTTATTCAGAAAGTCTATGGGTGACGTCACAGACGCTTTGTCCATTTTTTTACAGTCTATGATTCAAGCCCATTTCTAATCCGTCAAAATTGCGGCACCAATCAGAAACGTTGGGGCGGGCTTTAAACGATGATGACAGCACAGCGACGGTGAAGCAGATTTTGTACATTTACAAAGATGGATGCCGCCGTGGAACTAGGGGTGTGACGGTTAGTTGAACAGCGTCATATTAGAACTCTATAACCGCCAAAACCATGTTATAAAAATATTTTTTTCACAAAAATGTATTATCATAGAGAATGTTTAAATACTAATATCAGCTTACGAGGGAAACGGAGGCGGAGTTAGTGGTGCTTCGGAGGCTGCTACTGCTGGAATTGATTCGGGAGAGGTCTGTGCCCCTTTACCGATCAGAGCGCGCGCTGACACGGAGTAAAGCCTTGTTTATACTCGACGCGTCCGCACAAGTGCGAAGCATAGACAGTAAAAGAAATGGACACAGCGACCCCATAGACTTCAACGGAGAAAAGTGAAGTCAATTAGAAGCACTCACTTCCTGATTGCCAAGCGCACTGCGCATGCTCAAACTGAGCTTGATGATGTAGATGTGACGTGAGAAACCTGTCTCACAGTTGTACGTCTTCTAGTAGCTGTGCCAAGCAGAATCTGAATAATTCCCTTCTGAATCTTGCAGAGCCGGTGATCGTATTAGCTGTCCATGAGCTAGCAGCAGGAGCAACTTTACAACTCTCTATGGGCTTCTTGACTTTATGCCTCCACGTCCCCCCGATTGCGCGACAGCTTCTACTTCTGTCTATACGGTAATTCCTGTACTGTGCGACAGAGAGTTGCGTGTTATGACGCTTTCCTTAGCCTATTTTTACAAAAACTGCTTCTACGGGGTCATAACGTAATATACAAGGTAATGGAGCCTTTTATACATTGTCGTGTTTCTTTCGAAATAAACAGTGGACAAATGGAGTCTTAAACGCCTCAGATGTAAAGTTATTCGCTGTCAAAGTGACGCCAAAATGAATGGGAGTCAATGGAATGCTAACAGCAGGTGAAGGCTTGCTAGCCAATGGCGGCCCCCGGGGAGACTTCAGTTTCCGGCTGGTGGATTACCCCCTTGGTGCGAAGGTGCGCGCGGCAAAAATGACGCGTTCGGTGCGCAAGACCGGCGAGACCCCATTTCGCTTGGTTGTGTGCACCGCAGCACCTGAGACGCGCCGTGGTGAGGAGCAGAGAGCGCGTCTCAGGTGCTGCGGTTATCACTCCGCCCAAGTAGCAGTGCTTCGCCTTCAGAGAATATAGTTCCCAGTATTTATACGGTTAAAATATGTCTGTGTCTCATGTGACTTCGTTTTTTGTACACTCTGTGACTATACAAATCACAACATGTAAATAGGAAAATGTTTGCGCTATTTTGTCACTTATTTGGATTAGTAAGCTAGCTGCAACCATTTACATCCAGTCTTTGTGCTAAGCTAGGCTAGCGGTGGGT